GGGGGGGGGGGGGATTTTGGGGCAGAGCAGAGAGTGGTGACTGACTGTCGCGGTGTCTGACCTCTCAGTTCTCACCCTTAGAGCCATCGGGGGACAGACGCAGTATCGGATCGATGCTGCATCTACCTAGCTATGCACGATTTAAAAAAACAAAACTTATACTTCTCTTCTAAGGCAGTCAAAGCATGAACAAAGTCCAGATTAAATAAAAAGTTGAAAACAAAACATGAAAAATGTCAACACCAAAGAAAAGAACCAGATGATCATCCTTGTGTTCCAAACCAGGACTAGTAATTATCACTAAGTGGAAACAGTTACCTGAAAGATAGTGAACCTCAACTAAAAATTTGGACAACCAATCGTGCATTGTGAGATAAACAGGCAAACATTTTTCTGGGGTAAAGGCTGAAGCCTAGGATACCCAATGCTTGACTGCAGGGAAAGGAAATGTTACACAGATGTCCAAAAAAAAGAAGACCAACCGGATAACAGTCGAAGGCTGAAGTAAACTCCCTTTACCTTTGAATTCAGGGAAAGGCGGCTGGATAAGCAAAAAGGTATGTTCAGACAAAGGCCAGTTAACAGCCAGAGGTTTAAGTGGAACACCCTCAACCTGCTACAACAGGGAGAGGTAAGATCCATAAATGAAGAATATACCTGAAAGATATGTAAACTCTCAAGAGATATGCATGGAAAAAGACTTCACAGTAATCTAAAAGGGAAGAAACCATAAAGTGGAAAAAAAGTAGGGTAGTAAAGCATAAACATCAAGTGACCAGCATAAAAAAAAAAGCAAATAAGGAATTTGGAAGTATTTTATAACTCTATTCCCCATGTAGTAGCTTATACTCATAGGATTACCTTGTACACATCCAATGCTGGCTAATACGATGCGCGTCCTCAGTGACTGGGTCACACCAGAGATTGGGCTATGACCATGGCCCTGGATAACACTCTGCGTCTAGAACAGTATACAGAGGTCTGGACAGTGGCACAATGCAAAGCCCAGTGCCTGAAGGTTACATTCCAGGCTAACCTCACCACAACCAGAAGCCTGTTTACTATGCAGGTCTTTAAAGACTGGGTGACATCAGAGGCTGTGTTACAGCTCTGGACCTGGAGAACGTTCTGCAACTAACTGATATAATATCCACCTGAATCCAGATCAGATGACCCTCCAGTAGTATAGTCCATTGTTTTAGAGAAAGCCAAATCTTGTCCAGGATGTTGATTAGGAGGCACGGCTTTCTCTTACAACCAATTCCCCCTCTACCGACAGGGTGCCCAGGACTTTTTCCAGCTGAACAGCATAGTGTCTTGTCAGGATCATCCAAAAGACAGGAAAGAAGGACTACCCTGACTGCAGAGCTAGATTACTAAGCCACAAGGATAGGGCAAACTGGTCCTTGGTGACAGATAAATCAGTATGTCCAAATAGAATTGTCCCACAATGGCCAAATATTGTGTTGTTGAGGTCTGCCAAGAAACAGACTACCATAAGACCTAGGATTCTCATGCAAAAGCAGTTAAGAACTATACCCAGATACTCTAAAGTACAAGTTTCTGAAGGTTCAGGATCTTTCGAAATCACTATAACATCTGGATGGTTAACATTGTATCGTCCTCAAGGGCCGACTGTTCCCTCAACAGGAGGTCAGCATAGTATCCCAAAATAGGGGTGCCGCAAGCATCAGAGCTAGCACAAGGGAAAACGGATGAATATCTGAGGTGCAGAAAAAAGGTTGAAGGCCTGGGACAAACTCGTAGTGCAGGGGCCCCATGACAGAGTAGGAATAGCTGGTGCCACAAAAAGATGGGGACATGTAGTTAGGCATCTACAATGTCCACAAAAGCCAGACTGTCACCCTGGTGAAAAAAGCAATTACAGATTTTGTAGATTCTATGCAGAATTTATAGAATCCAATGAAGACCCTCAGAGCCTCAAGATCTAGAATGAAATAAATGTCATCTTTAGGCTTGGGAACTGCTAACAAGTTGGGAGTAAAACTGCTGGAACCGTTCTGCTACAAAGTCAAAGAGAGAGCTGGAGTTTAAACAATTCTTCCCAGTACTTTATTTGGTAAAAGATAAGCCATCTGAGGCATTCAAACAAACACAGCAGAACACGAACACTTTTCAGCCAAAGCCTTAGTCATAGTCTATTCTGTTATTGGAACTGAGGAGATAGAATCTTGATCTTGGAGAACTAAGGGTTTGGTGGAGATCTGTTAATCTCTGCAGCGATGACACATGAGAGTTGCAGGTGAGAAACCAAGTACGTGTCAACTCCTGCATTTAAGCATCATGTGTACAGGACTTTTATTAGATAGGGAGAAGACTTCATTTTAGGTTTCTTCCACTGAGGAAGTAGAATCCTTTAGCATCCACAGTCCAGCACTTTAGACAGAGTGTCCTATGCATATGTACTAATATGAGATTAGGCTACTAGCAAATAATTACAGCTGGAATTAAATGTTACCGCCAGACTGTGGTCTTAAAGTTAGATCACAGCTACGACTGGATGATGGGCAGGACCTGCCAGTGAGAACAGAGCTCTAGAAAGGGAATCCAACCACTCCTCTGTTGGGTTCTTATTAACAGGCATGTGCTTTACTTGAATAGTAAGTGCCCTCCTCAACCCACAGTGGGAACAGACCAGTTCTGCAAAAAAAAAAAAATCTCATTAAAATGTATATAGAGCTAATAAGTTACTCCTCTATATTTTTTCGTAAGCATTCAAGGGGAGCCAAAAGCTTATCATTAAGATGCTTCCTCAGTTATTCTCAGTAGGTGTGCTGCAAGCAGCCCCGCAACCATTAGCCCCCCCCCCCCCCCCCCCATTCCTAGAATCAGACAGGTTGCAACCACATGACAGTGAGGCAACATATAGGCCTGGGTTAAGAGGTAAGGCCTAAAGTATACTCACAAAACCCAGACAGCTGATAGCAGGTGAGGGTCAGATAACCAGAAGTGACTGAAGATTAAACTTCTATGTGGCTAACTGCAAGCAGGAGCAGCAGCAGCGGGGAGAATCTTTCCCCACGCTCTATGGCAGAAGAAAGCGTGGAGCATCTGCGCTCAACATTTCACCAAACGGATGACATCAGCTGGGGACAGAGAATAATGGCGCCCAGTGATTTAAATAACTGAGCTTAGCTCCCGATGCTTGGCCCGATCACCTACTCACTAAATGGATCTTCAAACACAGGGAAAAAGCTGAGACAATGCCAACACCTCTGGACCTGAAAAGTGATCTGAACTAACTTTTACCTATGCAAAACCCAGTGCCCAAAGGTCACTGTTAGGTGATCATTGCAACATACAGTCCAGCAGGGCCTGAATGCAGTAATCCAAAAGTCATGCTGAGGACGACCATCCCTGAGATCTTACATAGTTAGTCCGGCTGAAAAAAGACAAAAGTCCATTTAGTTCAACCATATAAAAAAAAAAGTTATAATCCTATACCCACAATTGATTCAGAGGAAGGCAAAAAAAAAAAAAACCCAGCAAAGCATGATTCAAATTGCACCTGCTGGGAAAAAAAATTCCTTCCTGATCCCCCGAGAGGCAATCGGATATTCCCTGGATCAACTTTACCTATAAATATTAGTATCCAGTTATATTCTGTGTATCTAAGAAAGAATCCAGGCCTTTTTTGAAGCAATCCACTGAGCAGGCCAGAACCAACTCTCGAGGGAGTCTATTCCAAATTTTCACAGCTCTCATCATGAAGAAACCTTTCCGTGTTTGGAGATTAAATTTCTTTTCCTCCAGACGTAAAGAGTGCCCCCTTGTCCTCTGTGATGACCTCAGGGTGAATAGCGCTACACCGAGTTCACTATATGAACCATGGATGCATTTATACATGTTGATCATATCCCCCCTTGATCTCCTCTTCTCAAGAGAGAATACATTCAGTCCCTCTAATCTTTCCTCATAGCTGAGCTCCTCCATGCCTCTTATCAGTTTGGTTGCCCTTCTCTGTACTTTCTCCAGTTCCCCAATGTTCTTTTTGTGAAATGGTGCCCAAAACTGAACTGCATATTCCAGATGAGGTCTTACTAATGATTTGTACAGGGGTAATATGATCTCTCTCTCTCTCTGGAGTCTATACCTCTTTTAATACAAGAGAGGATTTTGCTCGCTTTAGAAACCGCAGCTCGGCATTGCATGCCATTATTGAGCTTGTGATCTACCAGAACCCCCAGATCCTTCTCCACCATTGATTTCCCCAGTATGTATGATGCATGCATATTCTTAACCCCCAAGTGCATAACCTTACATTTATCAACAATAATTCTCATTTGCCACATAGTTGCCCAATTAAACAGTGCATTGAGGTCGGCTTGTAACATGGAAGTTCAGTGCAAGAACGAAGGACAGCCTGAAGCCCAGCAGTGGTGTGAAGTAGAGTCTTGACTGAAGGGGGTAAAAAAATAAAAAAAAGGGCAATAGCAAAAATAATTAGGGTTAACGCAGCAGAGCTGTAAAGATAAAAAATAACAAGCTTGTAGTGGGAGGTGTTATTTTTTTTTTTTTTTTGCCAGTGTCCAATCTTCCTGTAAGTGCACTGTCTTTTTTTTATATTTCAACCCTTGATTTTGGATGTTTAGGAGTTATTTTACCATTGGCTTGGGGAAGCAGAGCTGAGCGCAGATAAAGTGGGATACACCTGGAATGTATTTAGCAGATGTACTGAAGGTTCAATTTGGGTTTTACAGATCTTGAAAATGTCTCAGAGTAGGTTTGTTAAAGAAATCTGTACTGAAAGGAATATGCAGGCTGTCACTTTAGCTCTGAAAATGCTAGAGGCCTGAATAGGTTGATTCAAAGGCTTCAGTACTTTGATTGATTCACTGATTTGGAACGTGTGCAGCTCAGATATTTGGACATTCAGCTACTATTTTCAGAAAAAAAATGGTTCTGTATTCCGTCAGTATAGGTTTCCTTTAACAATAGATCAAAGTAGTCGTCTATGCCCACTCTTGAAAACAGCCAACCTATATGTATATAAATATTAGGAACAATAAGAAACTTACCTTAAAGTCCCAGATAGTCATTGCCCCATCGATGCCAGTAGTACAGAACTTGCGACAATCAGCTTTGTCTCCTTCATAAATAGACACCTGGCTGTAGAACAGGATTACATTATAAGACAGCAGTCGAAGCAATCTGTAAATAAATTGTCACTGCAGTAGTATATAAAATATCCACTAGACCAGGGCTTTTTTTGTTATTTGGCACTGCGCTATTTCAACTGTTAATTGCACATTCATGCAATGCTGTACCCAAACTTTATTTCCTTTTTTTTCACATAAATAGAGCTTTCTTTTGGTGATATTTGATCCCCACTGGGTGTTTTATTTTTTGCGCTACAAATGAAGACAGATTCTGAACAAAAACCCCAATATTTTCTACTTTGTTATAAAAAAAAATATACAACAAACTCAAATTTAGTCATACGTTTAGGCCAAAATATATTCTGCTACATGTCTTTGGTAAAAAAAAATCCCAATGGGGGGTTGTGTCCTGCCAACGATCAGGACGTATGCTTAGTGAGGAGCACCCTGCTCCACAGCCTGCTTAGCAGCTACTCCAGTGACAGGGGAGACTCCCCGGCAACCACTAAACCTCAACCACAGCCACCCGCAGCCACCACGATGCTGAAACAGGGCTCATAGAGGATGACAATCCAAAAGCTGACGGCTTTCTTCTCCATGGCTGGGGAATGGGAAATCCATAATGGCACCAGTCCTCTCGCACACCATGATAATATGGAAGACTCCTCCTCTGATAGCTCGGCTTCCTCAGTATGCTTGGCTATATACTGTCATCCACCTGCACATGATGAGTTATCGCCATCTGAAAGCCCCACTACTAGAAGTCCAGCAAAGACCAAAAAGGTCAGACAGGGAGACTCCCATGTACTGCAATCCGGCAGGGCTGCTATTTCCCTTGACCTCATGCAACAAACATCTTTGGAGCAGTTTCCAGCTTCTTCCCAGCCTGCATCAGTTAATGATCTTAAACTTATGTTGATCTCACTGCATGTAGACATGATCAATATGAGAGCTAAAGTCAATCCCTCTGTATAAGATTTACAGCAAAGAGTTTCTCACATATAACATAAGAAGGATGATGTGTTCTCTTCTCACGATACTATAGTATATGTATGTAAAGAGCAACAATCAGATTTACAATAAATTCAAGCAAAACTGGCAGACCTAGAATGTAGGTTCCGCCGAAACAATATCCAGTTTTGCGGGGTGCCTGAATAGGATTCCTCTGTTGGATTGAATGGTTTCCTACAACTACTTTGAGTCCTGATTCCAGAAGCTCAGGAATTTGAACTTATCATAGATAGGGCTCATAGGCCAACCAAACCAGAATATCTACCTGATTTTATACCAAGGGACATGCTAGCCAGGATACAAGATTGTCACATCAAGAATCAAGCTATGCAAGCTGCTAAGAAAAAGCCTGAGCTACCTGGTCAATTTGCAGGGTCACACTCTATGCGGATCTTTCCCAAGCTACAATTCATTGTAATCAGCACTTACGAGAATTCTAATTATATCACATTTATTATAACATAAAAGGAGCTAGTGCTGATATTCATTTGTTTCAGGGGTGTGGAAATTTTTGTAAAAAAACTACCGTATTTTTCGCCGTATAAGACGCACTTTTTCTTCCCCAAAACTGGGGGGGGAAATGTCAGTGCGTCTTATAAGGCGAATATGGAGCGGCCGGTCCGGTATTTCCACCGCGGCCGTGTCAGAATACCGGGCCGGCCGCTCAGCTCTGCAGCGGGACCTTACCTGTTCCTCTATCCAGCGGCGTGCTGTCTTCCCGGCTTCTGTAGTGTGGGCACTGGGCATGACAGCCGGGTGCCAAGTGCGCATGCGCAAGAAGCGGTGCTTTTTGTGAATGGTAAGGCGGTACCTGGGACACATGACAGATCCCAGAAGCCGCCGAACCAATCACAAAGCGCAAGTGCTTCTCGCTCATGCGCACTGGGCACCCGGCTGTCATGCCGAGCGCCATTACAGAAGCCGGGAAGACAGCGCGCGGCTGGATCGAGGAACAGGTAAGATCAAAGAACAACTCTGCAGAAGTAAGAGCAGGTACCTGTCAAATTCAGGTACCTGCTCCCCACCTCCCCAAAGGTCAGCAGTCATCTGTACTGTCCGCAGTCTCTGGTCATCCCTGTGCTGTCCGCAGTCTCTGGTCATCCCTGTGCTGTCCGCAGTCTCTGGTCATCCCTGTGCTGTCCGCAGTCTCTGGTCATCCCTGTGCTGTCCGCAGTCTCTGGTCATCTCCTGTACTGTGTCTGCAGTCCATTAGTTCAGAATTTTTTTTCTCCTGTTTTCTGCCTCTAAAACCTAGGTGCGTCTTATGGTCAGGTGCGTCTTATACGGCAAAAAATACGGTACTTGTCCAAGGGACTAAATCGGGGTCCCAATCTACTTGTCCCTCATGACAATCTACTTACCCTGATAAAAAAAATTTTTTCAACCAAAACCCTATCTAAATCTGACGTGCTTTGAATGTCTAGGGATTTTAAAAAACGAAAGGGGCTTCATTACGACATAACTTTGTAATGTTTTTGACATTGTACGGTTTATCTCCTACTCACTAACTAGCAGGGAAGGGAGAGATCTTACAGTGTGACTAGCACCGATTGGGTGCTCGTCAGGAAAGGGGAGTGTCTGGCTCTCTTAATGCTGAGCAGAAGTGCATCAGCTGAGCGAGTAAATAAAGTGCCGGCCCCAATAAGGGGAACCCCCCCCAAAAAAACAGCTTCCTTCAGATTACCCATGCACACAGAAGCACTTGGATGCTCAAGTTTACCTTTAACTTGCCGTCCGGCCGCTGTATATAAAACGGCTGGATGGTGGCAGTCCAGGGGCGGGTTACCGTTCATAAATGGCGCCTGCCATTTTGGACTGTGCACGCTCCCTGGGAGCGCGCAGCACCGCGATCCGGTGCCTGCTGTGTCCTTCGGACACAGTGGAACACCGATCATCGTACGGGACCTCTGTACGAGGTCCCGATCATGTGATCACACACTAGTTCTCAATGGCTGCAAGAATGCAGCCGGAGAGAAGGAGAAATTATTGCTTTTACAGCCTTTATGGGTGTAAAAGCAATCAGTGTAAAAAAAAATCTTCATCACCCCCCCACAAGTAGTACAGTGTCACCATGGTGACACTGTACTGCTAGGGTGATAGTATGTAGAAAAAAAAAAAATAATAATTATATATATATAAAAAATTTAAAAAAATAATTTTTAAATTATAATTTTTGCTTATAAACTAATTTTTTTTTACTAAAAAGATAACTGAATACATTTTGGCCAAGATTTATGATGAAATATTATTTATTTGCAAAATGTTATAAGAAAAAAAAACACTTTTTTTTCAAAATTATTGGACTTTTTCATTTATATATATAAAAAAAAAAAAATCCCAGTGGTGAATAAATACCACCAAAACAAAGCTTTATCTGTCAAAAAAAAAAAAAAAGCTAAAAAATTCATATGGCCCCAGTGTTGCATCACCTCGTAATTGTCAAAGTGTGATAGTGCTGAAATCTGAAAATTGGCCTGGACAGGAAGGGGGTAAAAGTGTCCGGACTTGAAGTGGTTAAGAAAAAAAAAAATAAAAATAAATAGCATATTTTCAGGTCATTGCTAGTGCAATGCAGGACTCCTGCAGACAGTCAGTGTAATCTGTCTGCCCATACATCATACAGGCAGGTTCACACTGACAGGAACCATCAACGAACCACCAACACTATCAATGAGCTCAACAGCGCCATGGTAGTTCATTCAGAACTGCAAGCCGACATCCATAAAGGATGAAAATCTGGTCTAGAGAATTTCTGCCCATACTGCTGTCACAGGGGGCTCCCCTTCTTTTACTGTCCCCAATCTATCTGCAGATAGAAAAGAGCCTTGGGGGCAAGCTGCACGTGGTCAATTTGGTGTGTATTGCTAGAGAATTTTTTTATTCTTGGGAGAGTGCATGTGATCAGCACAGGGCCAATCAGCGCTGTTCAGGCAGAGGATCATGCAGCCTCATAGGACATTCAAGGGAGAATAAAAACTCCTCCTACAAGCTTTAACCAGTACTCTGCTGGACACTGATAGACATCACAAGACTGCTCTGACTGCTGATGAGAAAAGATATTTAGCAGTTTATATTTACTTAAATAATTGCATTCTGTGCACTGCGGGAGACCAGATATAGTGAATGCAGGGTCCTGGGTTTAGTAACACTAACTTTCTTTTTCCCCATCACATAGGGGACAAAAAGTCCCCTATGCTCTTATTTGGTGACAGGTTCTCTTTAATGAGACATCCAAAGTCTAAAAAACCATGCATATCTCCTCTGTGCTCCACTGAATGTAATATGGTGCAGATTGCACTGCATTACATTCTTTCCCAGCCTCATTGGCCAGGGAAACTGTCAACGTTGACCTGGAAGTTGTGTCATACACGTTGCCTTCGGGTCAGGAACAAGAAGGGTAGGAGAGTGGACATGTGTCCACTCTCCTCCCTTCCCTCTACCTAGCAGCACACACTATGCCAGTCCCAGGCCCGCAGATAGCCAAGTAGGGCCCAGGATAAATAGTGTGGGCGCATTTGGGGGGGGGGGGGTCGTCGTCATTTTACCAAAGTGTGTGGAAGCATTCAGGGACAGCACAGCCACCCGAATTCTTCCACATGACAAGTAAACCCAACTACTTGTCTTTGCAGAGGCACTTTAAAATTCAAAGATGTCACAGGACAAAAAGGTACTTTGTTTCCAGCGAAGGGTCACAAAATCCTACTCTTCAGGGGTTTCTATCTCCTCAAAATGCACCTCAACACTCTAACCAAGTTTCAACTGTTGTGCCAAAATTCAGCTCCTCCTGTCAGCACAAAATCCACCAATATATATAATAAAACCCCCATGCGCTATTCAGAAATATATATATAAAAGAAGGATAAATAATCAGAAAGCAGCTATCACTACAAAATGTGCACTTGTCACACTAGAACAGACAAAATTATTCCAAACAGTAAAGCGCTATCAGTGCAAAAACCCCAAATTAATAAGTGACTGAGCAGATTTTGGTTCATCAGAGAGAAGAAAGCAAGGAGGGAGTAGATTTTGGAGCTCTATTTTGCATTCCTTTGAAACTAACAACGGAACCCACAGGTCTGGGACGGCTGTATTCCAGAGAAAGGCAAACTGTAATAGATATCCCTCCACACTAAGGAGTGAGGGTGCCCCTTAATTGTGAAGGGGGCTTTGAGGCAGACTTGGTGGATTTTGTAAAAAAATATTATAGTGAAGTGCTAAATTATACACACTATCTAGATAAATGTATAAATATATATAAAAATCTGTTAAAATAAATCAATGAGTGGATCAAACCTCAATACAAAAATGTGCAAAGAATGTGCACTGAATCATGTGACTGATTAAATAAGAACATAACCAATCCATACATCACAGTGATATTAATTTAATTAATTCCAAAGTCAATATAAAGTGCAACAGTGGTAGAAAAAAAATATTTTGTATCTGGGTATTTATATATATGATTTTTTTTAAGGGGGGGGGGGGGTACTGGGGATATATCTATGTACATTTATTTTGCCCTGGGTTGTGAGAGGCATGAACATGTACTCTGCTTAATGCTTTATGTTTGATTTTGTATGTGTTATTATTGGGACATCCAGCTTTAGTTATGTACCATTGTATTTAGAGTTTAACCACTTCAAGTCTGGACACTTTTACCCCCTTCCTGTCCAGGCCATATGTCAATATTTTACACCCATTCACATGTTTTTGGGATATGTTTACACTTGGATGAGGGGCATATCTGTATTCAGCATATTGTCTATGGTTTTTTTATTGGTTGTTCACTAAGCAGAGCAGCACGCTTTCACTCCTTTATTTGTTTTCACTATTTTGGAATATAGTTCGGCAGTTGCTTTTTTTTTTTTTTTTTTTTGGAGGAGGGGGGGGGGGGGGGGGGTGTGTCATTGCAGGCAGGGAGGTAGCGCAGGAGGACCATCTCTATACTACACTAAGCTATATTTCCTGACCACTCATATAGAAGCAACCATTACAGTACATTATTACAATTGGTTGATTTATGTGATACACAAGATAATGATATATAATCAGTCCAGTCTCACACATGTAGTATCGCCGTACTCAGGAGTAGCAGAATGTGTTTTAGGGTGTCATTGTAAGTATGCCCATGCTGTGTGTGAGAAATATCTTATTAAATTTGACAACTGTGTAAAACAAAAAAAAATTTAATTTCAATTTCCTTTCTGCATTTTCCAAAAAACGTTTGTCAAAAAATGAAGTCTTCAAAAGACTCACCATACCTCCTAAAAATAATTTGGGGTGTTTGCTTTCCAAACCATGGTCATTTCGTGGGTGTTTCTGCTGTTCCGGTGCTCCAGGTTCTCAAAAAATGTGATAGGTAGTCAGGAAATTAGATGTGTAATTTATACCCCTAGAACACCTGAAGGTGCTCCTTGGTTTTTGGCCCCCTCTATGTGGCTAGGCTGTGAAAAAAGTCTCAAATGCTGTATTTCCACACTTGGGAGGAGTAGCAGAATGTGTTTTGGTGTGTAAATCTAAGTACAGTTGCAAGAAAAAGTATGTGAACCCTTGGGATTACGTGGAGTTTTGCATGAATTGGGCATAAAATGTGCTCTGAATGTCATCTAAGTCACAACAATAGAAGAACACAGTCTGCTGAACATAATACTACACAAACATTAGATGTTGCCATGGTTTAAATTGCACATAACATGTAAACATTCACAGTGCAGGGAGGAAAAAGTATGTGAACCTTTGGACTTAACTGGTTGACCCTCCTTTGGCAGCAATAACCTCAAACGTTTCCGGTAGTTGCAGATCAGACCTGCACAACGATCTGGAGTAATTTTGGACCACTCCTCTTCACAAAACTGTTTCAGTGTAGCAATATTCTTGGGATGTCTGGTGTGAATCGCTCTCTTAAGGTCATGCCACAGCATGTCAATCGGGTTGAGGTCAGGACTGATTGGGCCACTCCAGAAGGCGTATTCTGTGCTGTTGCAGCCATTGTTTTGTTGAATTACTTGTATGCTTTGGGTCATTGTCCTGTTGCATCACCCATCCTCTGCGGAGCTTCAGTTCACGGACAGATGGTCGTACGTTTTCCTGCAAAATGTCTTGATAAACTCTGGAATTCATTTTCCCATCAATGACAACAATCCGTCCAGGCCCTGAGGCAGCAAAGCAGCCCCAAACCAGGATGCTCCCTCCGCCATGTTTTACAGTGGGGATGAGGTTTTGATGTTGGTGTGCTGTGCCTTTTTTTCTCCACACATAGTGTTGTGTGTTCTTCCCAAACAACTCAATCTTGGTTTCATCTGTCCACAGTATATTTTGCCAGTAGTGCTGTGGAACATCCAGGTGCTCTTTTACAAACTTCAAACGTGCTGCAATATTCTTTTTGGACAGCAATGGCTTCCTCCGTGGTGTCCTCCCATGTACTCCATTCTTGTTTAATGTTTTCCTTATTGTAGATGTGTCAACAAAAATGTTAGCATGTGCCAGAGATTTCTGTAGGTCTTTAGCTGACACTCTGGGATTCTTCTTTACCTCATGCAGCATTCTGCGCTGTGCTTTTGCAGTCATTTTTACAGGACGACCACGCTAGAGAGAATAGCAACAGTGCTAAACTTTCTCCATTTGTAGACAGTCTGTCTTACCATGGACACATGAACATCAAGGCTTTTGGAGATACTTTTGTAACCCTTTCCAGCTTCATGCAAGTCAACAATTCTTGATCGTAGGTCTTCTGAGAGCTCTTTTCTGCGAGGCATGGTTCACATCAGACAGTGCTTCTTGAAACCAGTAAACCCAAAACAGGTGTGTGTTTTTTAAGGGCAGGACAGCTGTCAGCAACACATCCAATATCATCACACTGATTGGAGTCAAGGTTGGCTCACTCCTGGCTCCAATTAGCTCTGGGAGAAGTCATTAAGCTAGGGCCTCACATACTTTTTCCTCCCTGCACTGTGAATGTTTACATGTTATGTGCAATTAAACCATGGCAACAACATCTAATGTTTATGTAGTATTATGTTCAGCAGACTGTGTTCTTCTATTGTTGTGACTTAGATGACGTTCAGAGCACATTTTATGCCCAATTCATGCAAAACTCCACATAATCCCAAGGGGTTCACATACTTTTTCTTGCAACTGTATGCCTATGCTGTGTGTTAGAAAAATCTTATTGTCAAGATTATGTGAAAAAAAAAATACAATTTTCATTTCTTTCCTGCATTTTCCAAATATGTTTGTAAAAAAAATAACCTGCTATGTCTTTCAGAAAATACCTTGGAGTGTTTGCTTTCCAAAATGGGGTAATTGTTTTTAGGTGTTTCCATTGCCCTGGTTCTCTAAGGCCTCCAAAAATGTGCTACGTAGTCAGGAACTTAGATGCAGAATTGATGCTCCTTGGATTTTTGACCCCTTTATGTGGCTAGGCTGTGAAAAAGTCATGCACATGGTATCACCATACTTAGGAGGAGTAGCAGAATTGTTTTTGGGGTGTATTTATAAGTATGTCAATGCTGTGTGGGAGAAATAACTTTGTGGGAAAAAAATCTCAAACATTTAATGTCTTAATTTTTTTTTTTTAAATTGTGACAAAAAAATTACAACTTCAAAAGACTCGACATGCCTCTTACTAAATAACGGTTTGCTTTCCAAAAAGAGGTTATTTGTATTGTTCTGGCATTTTGGGGCCTCACAAAAGAGATAAAGTACATCAGGACCGATCAATTTTCAAAAATATATACATACCAGTTTGTAGACTCAATAATATTTCACACAGACTAAACAATATACAATGATTTGGGTTATGTTTACCAAAGAAATGTAGCAGAAAACATTTTGGCCTAAGCTTATGAAGAAAGATTATTTATTTGCAAAATTTTATAACAAACTGAGAAAAAGTGATTTTTCCCCAAAAATTTTTGGTATTTTATTTTTTTGTTTATATCACAAAAAAATAAAAAGCCAGTGTTGATTAAATACCACCAAAAGAAAATTCTATTTGTCTCAAAACAATTATAAAAATTTCATATGGGTACAGTGATGCATGACTGCACAATTGTCATTCAAAGTGTGGCAGCGCTGAAAGCTAAAAACTGGCCTGGGCAGTAAGGGGGTGAAAGTGTCCAGTATTGAGGTGGTTAAATTACATAACACACAACAAAATTCATCCTCTTTTTTTCTAAAGGTATCTAGCTTATACATACGTGATGCTGTTCTGATGCAGAGTGTCCAATGTGGTCTTGCGGTCTTCAGTAGTTGCTCTCTTATCCATGTTTCTAAAGCGTTCCATAGCTGAAATGTTACGCTGAGTACTTTGCTTTGGAATGTCCAGTTTAGACACAAATGTTAATGAGCCATGATCATCCAGTGAGAAGAGCATAGGACAACAGTCATGCCCCTACAGGAAGAAATTAGGATTACACACTTTTCATAAACAGTTTATAATAATCAGGTTATTTTTCTAATCCATTTTCTAAACATTACTGGTATTTAAGAAAGACATTTTTTTTTCTAAATGTGCGCTTATGGTATCTATCAGGGCCTCATGTGACAGGATGACCATGAAAGAAAACAAATGGGAGCCTGTCACCCTATAACAGTAAGTGCCTGTACAAGGAACTTTATAACAGAGCAAGGTTTTATTTGAATGAAATTTGCAGATTTCAAAATTACAACAACACGTTGCAAAAGTGGTTATAAACAAAGTGAGCGCTCTCCACTATAGCAGCTGACACATCAAGGTAACCAAATGAAGCCCTCAAAGAACCATGTATGTAATAAAGTGCAGCGCTAAAATAAACAGTCAGTACTAAGATCACAATGAAATCCAAACATAGATAAGTCCGTAGGTATATAGTGGGGTAAGATCCAGAAATGAGCAGAAGTCAAAATGCTGGTGCTCTGAAGGAATGATAAAATTGCGCACTTACCAGATGCGCATAGAGTATATGCATTAATGTATCCACCTCAGGACACTTAGGGTATGAGGTATGGTAGGTGTGTGAAGATCATCCTTCAAGGAATGGGGCAGCACAGCGGTATTTGGGTGAAGACTGCTAATCCAGATGTCCCCTTTAGGATGGATTGGGTCAGCAACCTGCTTACAGGGATTGCCTTCTTCTGGATACTCCGTAGCACCGGATGCGTGTTGATCCCAGGAGTGCTTGGTCGGCTCCAAGCGCTCCAGGGATCAACACGCATCTGGTGCTATGGAGTGTCACACCAGAGGACCAATGGGCTATGCAGACTGCAAAGCCATTAAGTTTCAGAGCCAGTGGATATTTCCTGATTGATCCAGTATCCAGAGGAAGGGAATCCCTGTAAGCAGGTTGCTGACCCAATCCATTCTAAAAGGGGACCTCTGGATTAGCAGTCTTCACCCAAATACCGCTGTGCTGCCCATTCCTTGATGGATGATCTTCACACATCTACCATACCTCATACACTAAGTGTCCTGAGGTGGATACATTAATGCGTATACCCTATGCACATCTGGTAAGTGCGCAATTTTATCATTCCTTCAGAGCACCAGCATTTTGATTTCTGCTGATTTCTGGATCTTACCCCACTATATACCTACGGACTTATCTATGTTTGGATTTCATTGTGATCTTAGTACTGTTTATTTTAGTCCTGCGCTTTATAATATACATAACACGTTGCAGTTTATGGAAATTTAGTGAAAAAAAATCTAACCCAAAAACTTGTATTTGCAAAATTTGTAGTATAACTGCCTAACATCTATCTTCATACAGATAATATAGCTTTCAAAGGAAATTCAGTTAAAGAAGTATAGCTAAAGCTTTTTTGGCTGTACATCTATGAATTACAGGAGTCCCATTAGTTCTACACTCCTGCGACCGGCTTTCAGCCATCAGATGATGTCACACAACCAGTCCAGGCTCTGAAAACATCCCGACGATATGGTGGGGATCCACCTCCACCCAGAAGCTTGGACCAGCATCAGGCTCAGACTCTGAAACTCTGACTGACCACTGTGAGCCTGAGCCCGCTGCTCATGCCCCTCCACAGCCAAGCACTCCTGTGAGCACTGGAGGGGCAGAGCAGAGAGCTGGAAACTGACAGTCATTATTACAAACAAATTAGCTTGCGAGCCACTGAGGTAAATTATGAAGGTATAAGTAGGTATAAAAATGCACATTGGAAACTGACAGTCAGCACTCTCTACTCAGAGCACAGGGGGTGAACTGAGTGATCACCTGTGTTTGACCACACAGTTCTCTGTACGGAGCCAGTGGGGGACAGATGCAGGATCTAGTTGAGGCTACATCCACCTAGGTGGGTAGAATGTTTTGTTTTTTTTCTACAGCTCATACTTCTCTTTTCAGCATGAGGTTTCTGAACATTTTCATGCAAAATGACTATTTTAGCGGAATCACAAGCACCAAATATTTATTTTTTACTCTTGCATCATTCTTGCTTGCTGAATGCTTCCACAGTTGAGAAATCTGTCTGTTTGAATAGATTATAAGGCTGAGATCTACCCATATCATTTCAACATGAATCAAGATAAGGAAATGGAAAGACCTAAAACAACTCTGCAGTGACACTCCATAAAAAATATGTATAAATTAACTTACAGCTGCTATCACGCTGTTCTCCGACACAAAGGTGACACTCAGGAGAGGCAAGAATTCAGTCTTCAGCAGTGAAATGCTACAAAGTGAACACATTATAATTTTTATGCTATTTTAAGCTCCACTCCTAGCATAATATAGACTATAAACCCAAGCTCCCTCCCACTAATTCATCCTGATAGGCTCATCATTTCTAGGTGCGCTTGCATCAGTCTTCTTCTGCATCCTGAGAGAACCACGTTACTGGTCAGTCTACAGAAAGTGTCCACCACATCACAAAGGAAGTGATGTGGACAACCAAAAAAGGACACCCCAGGAGGCAGCACCTGCATTTCATTTTATGAATTTTATTGTAAATACCGTATTTGCCGGCGTATAAGACGACTTTTTGACCCTTGAAAATCTTCTCAAAAGTCGGGGGTCGTCTTATACGCCGGTACACATGTTAGGGGGGCTGCGGCATTAAGTACAGGGGTTTGCAGGGGCTGATGTCTCTTACCTGGATCCAGTCCCACGACGATCCGGTCCAGGAAGCGCGCGGCGTCTCCTTCAGTTCGGCCACTGGATGTTCGTGCGGCTGCTCGGCTCCGCCTCCTCACAGGTGATTGGCCGCCAGAACTGTAGCTCAGGAAAGGCACACAGGCGGCCAATCACCGGCGAGGGGGCGGAGCCGAGCAGCCCCGCGAAAATTGAGTGCCGGAGCAGCAGGTAAGTGTTCTGTGTAGAGGTGCTGCTGCAACCACATATGCTGGCTGCAGCAGCACCATACGAGAACAGGGTCAGCAAGTCTCAGTGGGAGGAATAGTGCCCCATCATTGGTGTCACTGATACCAATGATGGGGCACTATTCCTCCCATTGATATCAACGATGGGGCACTATTCCTCCCCCCCACTGACACCAACGATGGGGCACTATTCCCCCCCCCCACTGACACCAACGATGGGGCACTATTCCACCCCCCACTGACACCAATGATGGGGCACTATTCCACCCCTCACTGACACCAATGATGGGACACCATTCCTCCCACTGACACCAATGATGGGGCACTATTCCTCCCACTGACACCAATGATGGGGCACTATTCCTCCCTGACACCAATGATGGGGCACTATTCCTCCCACTGACACCAATGATGGGGCACTATTCCTGCCACTGATACCAATGATGGGGCACTATTCCTGCCACTGATACCAATGATGGGGCACTATTCCTCCCACTGACACCAATGATGGGACACCATTCCTCCCACTGACACCAATGATGGGGCACTATTCCTCCCACTGACACCAATGATGGGGCACCATTCCTCCCACTGACACCAATGATGGGGCACTATTCCTCCCACTGACACCAATGATGGGGCACTATTCCTCCCACTGACACCAATGATGGGGCACTATTCCTGCCACTGATACCAATGATGGGGCACTATTCCTGCCACTGATACCAATGATGGGGCACTATTCCTCCCACTGACACCAATGATGGGGCACTATTCCTTCCACTGATACCAATGATGGGGCACTATTCCTCCCACTGACACCAATGATGGGGCACTATTCCTCCCACTGACATCAATGATGGGGCACTATTCCTCCCACTGGTGTGCATTGGAAGAGGGGTAGTCTTATACGGCGAGTATAGCCCAAACACTACATTTTAGCAGGAAAAGTAGGGGGGTCGTCTTATACGCCCAGTCGTCTTATACGCCGGCAAATACGGTATGATAATACATTTTTCTTATTCCAAATAAGGACTCAGGACCTGAGCATCACACCACGGATTTTGATAAGCGGAAAAGTTTTTTTTTAGATTTACATTTACTTTTATAGTGTCCCAACCTAACAATTCTAACAGGAATTGGACACAAATTACATATAAACCTAAGAACAAAAATGTTACAGATTTCAGCTTTCCAGTAGAGTGATGTGGCGAATGCAGTAGTTTATTTTCAACACAAGTAAATTTTCTGCAAGTACAAAAAATACTTTTTGATTCTGCCAGAAATCCAGCTCCCTTGTAATTACCTGTGCACTTAAAAGATATGTCAAACACTGTTATTAGCATACCCAGCATCTTCTGTGAGTTAATTTCAGGACACAATGTAATGGACTGCCCTACATGCCACAAAAATTAAATTTTCTGTCCTATTGGGGTAGGAGGGTTGGGTGGGCAGTCGGGTTTATATTTTGGACACGAACAACGTAATGCAGAGGGACGCCCAGAATGCCCATGTGTACATGTTTATAGATGTGAAAGTGAGCATAGTCAAAACATTAGCCAACTGTGAATTAAGTCAAAAATATCTAACACTATCTGTGGCTATTTCCTCTGTCAATGCCCCATGCTTAGAGCTACAGGGGGCAAGTGAGGTACAGCCGAACACTCACTCTGAAAACAGAAAAAAGTTGGAAGTCATGCTGCAGTTTTAATCGGATGACAGAGAACACTACTTTTTAAAACACAACATATTGGTGACGTTTTTTGTTGACTGGATCGTGTATATCCATTTCATATAGGAGAAGCCTTGAAGATTTTATTTTTTTTTGTTAAAGCAGAAATGAATGCAAGCCTATTTTTTATTTTAGATAGACAGAGTAAAGGAAGGTGAACACCCATGTCATTTTTTTTTATGCCATCTGGGAGATTACTCTTCACTTTCTGTCCCATCGTTGCAATAGGAAGTGAGAGGAAATTCCTCAAAGATTAGCATTTTTATGATCGAATATTACTCAGGACTCCTAAATATTATACATACAGGGGTTAGACAAAAAAAGGGAAACACTATATGACTTGCAGGTGTGAAAGTGACAACATGTTTCACATTGAAAGCAGAAGTGATGTAACATTCTTTTGCTTCCACTATGTGCTGAGAAGCCTAGCTAACAGGTGGGAAGCCTCACTTTCGTCATTCACTGCATGCGCAGTATGTATACAGTCTTTCTTGCAGGTAACTCTTCTACTAGAACTTCTAAACAAATTTACTTTAAACTTAAGAGGGCAATTAGAGAGAACAGAGCCCAAGGTGAAAATTACAGCTTTTGTAAATCAACAGCTTATTGTCAGACAGAAAATATTCACAATATTCATATAGGCAACAAAACAATAATATAGTCAACAAAATTACCTTGTGTTTTTAGATGCATCAACCACAGACACAATGCTGTCATGACTGACCCAGGCCAAACGGTTTCCACTGGCGGAAAAGCTTACACTGTGGACCCAGCCGCCATTGCCAGCACTTCCAAACTCTGACATCAGCTGCCCAAAAGGCATTTTTGATCCCCAAGGAGTGCTAGCTGGCTTCTCATCAACTTCCTTAATATATGCGGAGAACACCCTGCAAGCAAAAATATATATATATAATGATAACACCACTATTCCTATGCATTACCCTCTCTTTAAGCCCTCTGAAAATACAGCACAGTACATAAGATTTTTTTAGTAAGTATTCACACTTTATTCTTGAGGGTGAACTTGATTTACAAAAGAAACATTAAATCAAATTTTTTTTTTAACAAAATGTGTTCAAGATAAAAAGAAAAACCCCAAAAACCTAAAAACCAGATTAAAGCTCAATCTTAATATATAAATACTGTTGTGTATCCTTAACCCCTTCATGCCGGCGCTTCCCAGCCCTTTAAGGGTTTCAGAAGCCAGGAGGCGGGGTTGAGTATCAGACACGTGTGTAGGGAGCGCGCAGGCACGCGCTCTCAGCACATATGTCTTTTTTTAATAGAACGCAAATGTGCAGACGCTCGGTGTCTAGACGCCGGGAGGCCGCACATTTGCGTTCAACTGGCGTTAAGAGGTTAAAAGGAGGGTAAATAACCCAGTATATGGCTCAACACATATAAATGACATAATGAAAACTTCTTTATTGAAAAACCTATGCTATACAAAAACCAACTATCCCCAACAAAAAGGATTAAAACCATAATTGGCATAGGTTTTGCACCAAAGAGTTTTCATTCTGCTATTCATGTGTGTTGAGCCATTTACTGGGTTTCTTACCCTTAAGGATACACAACAGTATTTATATACTGAGGTCGAGCTTTAGTCTGGTTTTTATACTTTTTCTTTTTGAAGAAACACCCTATTCTTTTGATTTCTTCTAACAAGATTGTCCAGCCTAAATCCGATTTAGCTGAATTCTAAGTTGCAATAGTAAAGGTTTGACCACTACACATTTAGAGATTTATTATATTAAAAAATAATACTACTGGAATGTAATAAAGAAATACACTAGTGAAAACTGCAAAAAAACACCCCTTATAACAATATGAAGGAAAGACTACAGGAAAATGGAGTGCACTGCACATAAGATCTGCAGAATGTGACAGCAAGACAGTAAAAGATAATGGGAATTGGCTTCAGCTTGGTTCTCCACATATAGAACCCCCAAACACTTTTTATCCATGTGTGGACTTAATCATAAAGGAAAGATTATGAGATTTTAAGTGTGCCTTAGGGAGCCATATTTCCACAACTGTTATATACATAAAACAATATTTATTGTTTATAAACATTACCATCAACATATAACAAAAAGACATGAAATGATCATTCAGGGTTACACCTGAGGTATATGTCACTGTTACATATACTGTATGTGGCTTACGCCCAAAGTTAAAAAGGCTATAGATAATAAGAAAAGAGCTTTTATTCAATATAAAAATGAAGGAACACTATCATCGTTTAAACATTACAAATAATATAACAGAATATGCAAAAAGGAAATAAAGGCTGCAAAAATTGAAAACAAACGACAGATTGCAAAAGATAGCAGGACCAGCCGAAAAAATTCTTCAAATATATTAATAGTAAAAAGGTTTGGTCTGAGCATGTAGGTCCTTTACAAAATAGGTCCATAATGGGCAAGGAATTGACACAGCTCCAGATGATCCACATTAGCTCACAATTGATATGATCCAAAAATATTTAGACAGAGTAAAGGTGAATAAAGCACCTGGACCAGATGGCATACACCCAGGTCCTTAAAGAATCGAGCTCTGTCATTTCAAAGCCATTGTTTCTCATTTTAAGGACTCTAATGACTGGGATAGTACCACTGGATTGGCGTAAGGCAAATGTGGTGCCAATATTTAAAAAAGGGGTCAAAATCTTTACCAAGTAATTACAGACCTGTTAGTTTAACTTCCATAGTTGGGAAGATACTGGAGTTTTTAATAAAAGACCACATAGATGAGTTTTTGCTGGAAAAAAATATTTTAAGGAACAGCATGGATTCATGAAAAACAGAAGTTGTCAAACAAATCAAATTTCTTTTTATGAGGGGGTGAGCAAAACCTTGGACAGAGGGGTGGCGGTGGACGTGGCATAATTGGATTTTGCAAAAGCGTTTGACACAGTTCCCCACACACGGCTAATTTGTAAGGTAAAGTCTACGGGCTTGGAAGAATTCATATGTAAATGGATGATGGAACACTGGCTAAAAGATTGTATTCAGAGTTGTGGTTAATGATTCATACTCTGAATGGTCTAGGGTCCTCAGTGGTGTACCCCAAGGATCAGTGTTGGGACCCTTACTTTTTAATATATTTATAAACTATATAGGGTCTGAGATTATAAATCCCATTTCAGTCTTTGCAGATGACACCAAGCTGTGCAGGGGAATAAAGTCCTTACAGGATGTCTTCAATTTACAAGCTGACCTCAATGCACTGTTTAATTGGGCAACTATATGGCAAATGAGATTTAATGTTGATAAATGTAATGTTATGCACTTGGGGGTTAAGAATATGCATGCATCATACATACTAGAGGGGGTACAACTGGGGGAATTAATGGTGGAGAAGGATCTGGGGGTTCTGGTAGATCACAAGCTTAATAATGGCATGCAATGCCAAGCTGCGGCTTCTAAAGCGAGCAAAATCCTCTCTTGTATTAAAAGAGGTATAGACTCCAGAGAGAGAAATATCATATTACCCTAGCTTGTGGATGCTCCTGAATCTCACCTGGTCAAGTGGGACAGGAGCGGACAATGAAGAATGATTGCAAGCAGAATAGTCGGATGAGTGGATTAAGCACCTCGCCCTGTACAAATCATTAGTAAGACCTCAACTGGAATACGCAGTTCAGTTTTGGGCACCAATTCACAAAAATGAACAAACGATCAATGGGTTAAATGTGTCCTAGAGTGTTCTAAATGCAATTATGTAGTGCTTGTACTCAATTCTCTTGATTCTTCTCTCTCTCGGACGGAATGTGCCCAGAGAGAGATATCATCACTTCCTGTACCTGTGTAACTGTCATCAAAGGACAAGATAGGACAGGGATTGATCGTCCGACTTAGGCCAGACATCACTGGCTTAAATCAGATGGCTGATCACTCAGGGATCAAATTATGGCACCCGCGGGTTGGAAGGCCCCCTTTCACGGCCCGCAAAAACTGAAAATCACGTATATATACACGTGATTTTGCACACTCGTGCCGCCGGGTAGCAGTATATCTGCTATACGGTGGCGGGTAAAGAGGTTAAAGTAACTTTTCAGAGCCACACAGGACCCCTGCACCCTGTCACTTGCCTGAAGGAGTCCTGCATGGATCCGAAACGTTGCCTTTGTTAATATGCTGTGACCACTGAATAAAGCTTTTGTCTGGTTTAGAGAATCTTTTGGTGTGCTGGTGGTGACATACCTTCAGATTTGTACAAAGCATAAGGCCCCTTCAACAACTGGATGCAAGAATGGCACATATCTGAACTAAAGGTTCAATCACTCAAATTTATAATAACATTGACGGGTCAAAATGGTTTGCTGAATAATCCATTAGCTTCTTATCCCTTGTGACTCTAAGAGACAGATCTTAGCATGTGTTTTTCCACACACTCCAAAATGTGGCCATCAGAAAAATGTTTCACATAAGCCAACTGATTTTGCATTACTGTTACATTAGGAAGAACACATAAGAAGGCACAAGATTATAGTGTGGAGGAAGCAGAAAAAAAAAAAAAAAACTCCAAAAAGGAAGATCTTGTAAAAGACCAAGTAGAAGGTTAACCCCCAGCACGATTCATAAAAGCATCATTTTCCTCACTTATTATCCTACTGACAATGATTTCACCAAAGAAGTGAGGAAAATTCTGCAACAGGGAAACAAACAGAATAAAAATTGAATGGGGGACCTAGCAATTCCCTATTCTGCTGAAAAAAATAAGGATTTGTGTGTTGCTGTTGGAGATTTTCCCTTACTTCCTGTCAGGTAGAATGTTTTCAGCAAGAAAGGAAGTGAAGGAAAATAATTGTAATGGAACCCTGGATATAAGTAAAAACCCACCAGGGGTTCCAACCCTATCCTACTCCATCCAAACCTGAAAAAAAGAACAGTTTACACTTTAACAAGCTCAAAGAAAGCTTCTGACAGATTTTTAATTAGTGTCTAAAAAGATAACAAAATCAAAGTATTTCAAAAGTAATCAAATAAAATTATGGTGTACCTGGTCTTGAAATCACATGATCCTGCAGCCAAAAGTACATTATTTGGGTGCCAGTCCAGGCTGAGCACAGTAGAACGAATTGGTTTCTTGATGTGTTTGCTCACCCACCCACCTGAAGAAGAAAATAGACATTCAGAATATCTGTTGTACAAAGGTGACAGGTTTTTTTTCTTAATGGTTGAACTGGATGGACTTTTGTCTTTTTTCAGCCAGACTAACTATGGAACTATATATAATCTGTAGATTCTAAATAGAACACATTTAGGAACTGTTCCTTGGTGCTGGCAGCTACATAGATCAGTGGGGCTTGTTTTAAAGCCCATTTACAGTTTGTTTAGAAAATGTACTTACCGGTCATTTTATTAGCTACACCCTGTTAGTGCCAAGAAAATATCCCCCACACCATTACACCACCACCAGCAGCCTGAACCATTGATACAAGGCAGGACAGATCCATGCTTTCATGCTGTTTAAGCCAAATCCTGATCCTACCATCTGAATGGCTCAGCAACCATTCTGCCCATAGTCCTCTGACATCAACAAGGCGTTTTTGTCTACACAACTGCTGCTCACTGGATATTTCCTCTTTGGCCGGTGAGTGTATATATTTTAATATCCACAGTCTGACTACAAGTTCAGTTTAAAGTGGAAGATAGGTCACTGGAAAGAAAGATGCATTTAAAGTGAAAAAGAAAAAAAGAAGAAAGAATTCCTGGTACAAGCATTACACACATCTACTTGTAAAAATAAAATTGTGAAAGTATCATAAAAACTATCTTTTAACCACTTCCAGACCGGACACTTTTACCCCCTTCCTGACCAGGGCAATTTTCAGCTTTTAGCGCTATCACACTCTGAATGACAATTGCGCGGTCATGCAACACTGTACCCAAATGAATTTTTTATCATTTTTTTTAGATAGATAAAGCTTTATTTTGGTGGTATTTATTCACCACTGGGATTTGTATTTTTTTTGCTATGTAAATGAAATGTCCAAAAATTTTTTAAAAAAGTGTTTTTTTTTAATAAAATTTTGCAAATAAATAATATTTCATCATAAATCTTAGCCAAAATTTATTCCGTTATCTTTTTAGTAAAAAAAAAAAAATCCAAAATTAGTTTATAAGCAAAAATTATAATTTTTAAACATTTTTTTTTTACATTTTTATTTTTTTTTTTTTATATTATTTATTTTTTTTTTTTTTTACATACTGTCACCCTAGCAGTACAGTGTCACCATGGTGACACTGTACTACTTGTGAGGGGTGATAAAGATTTTTTTTTTTTTTTTTTTACACGGATTGCTTTTACACCCATATAGGATGTAAAAGCAATCATTTCTCTTTCTCTCTGTGTGCATTCCTGCACTCATTGAGAAATACAGAGTGAGCTGTGATTGGTTACAGCTTGTCACATGGTACAAGACTTTTGTGAATAGCCTTGTACCATGTGACCTCTGTGATCATTCACAGATTTCACACATAGTAAGCAATGATGTCACAAGTGACATCTTGCTTACTACTTTGCATGTGATCACTGATTGGCCAATCAGTGATCACATGATCGGGACCTCGTACAGAGGTCCCATCCGACGATCGGTGTTTCACTGTGTCCGGAGGACACAGCGGGCACCGGATCGCGGTGCTGCGCGCTCCCAGGGAGCTCGCACAAGCAGGGTGCGGGGAGGCCGTTTATAGACGGCCACCCGACCCTGCAGTGCCACCGTCCGGCCGTTTATATACAACGGCCGGTCGGGAAGTGGTTAAAATCAGGTGCTTCATAGTCAAGATTTTTTACAAGAGGCAAGGACTGCCACAGAAGCTCGAGGTGGTAATATGTGATACACTGGAATGAGATTTACTCAGTAAGGCTTACGGGCGCTAAAAAAAAAAAAAAAAAAAAAAAAAAAAAAAATTGGAACAAACCCCAGGCTAATCAAAGTAGAGGGCTGGGAAATGCATATATGACACAAAAGAAATGTCTTGTGGGTGTTTACTTGGCTTTTTCTAATTAAATTCAGCTTTCTAGTTAAATTGCATTACCAGAATCTATGCAGCTAGGAGCCCAAAAAACATTGCAGTGGACATTTTTACCCATGGAAAGCATACATGTGTATGCAAATTGATATTTGCCTTTTGAATAGTGACACAAGCGCGCGCACGCACGCACGCACACACACACACAAACAAACCCTAGGTGTTGTAAGAGGAAAGAAAACCCCTACAAAGACAGTCCAAATTGCTCTAGAGACCTAGATCTACATGATCTATATGACCATTTAAATAAACCAAATAAAGCTTTAGCTCATCATTGTATTTTTTATTACTGAATTTTCAAAAAAAAAAAAGAGCAGACTTAAACATCTGATCTTATTCTACAATTTTGACTTATGTCTACCTGGGATTTTAGGAGCATTTAGGATTCTGGGATTCTAGCAGTAATGCTCACCAGTCGTTTTCTGACTCAAAGTAGCACACGGATATAAGTCTTGCTCCGCTCCCCACTGCAAACTTATTTTCCAAAGGTGACCACTTGACAAAGGTTGCAGCTCGATTTATACGTAAGATAACCAGTGTAGGCTTCCATACTCCATCTTTCTGGCTCCACACATAAGCATTGCGATCAGCCCCCACAGGTCACTATACGATCACTTTTAGGAGCCCAGTCTATACCTATAGAAAAATAAAAAATAAAGGATGCATTTCAGAAAATACATGTAAAATCTGCCAAACAAGACATAAAAACAAAACCCCATAGAAGTCCAAAAAAGGACCACCAAGAGAGTTATGTATGCATGAAAAGTTTCTTATTAAAAGTCAAAACACTGCATTAAATTTTAAATGCAACTAGTGTAAGTATGAAGTTAAATTGGTATCAACTTCTTGTAATCCCCTGTACATTATAACTCAATGTAACTGTAAATGCAATAGCAGCTGTTTAAAAATAATGCAGCAAACTTACTTTCATTGACAAAGAAGTGACTATGGTAACTGTAAAGCCTCTCAATCAATTCTACATGCTAGTAAAAATGGTGCACTTCTGGATTCAGAGTTTAACCTCCTCCCGCCCGCCATATAAGGTAATGACGGACACAAGGCGAGCTCCAGGAGAGCGAAGTGCGGCGATCGGTGGTGCGCTGTGTCCCTCGGACACTGCAGATCACAGATCAATGGAAAGAGCCGAAGATGTCGGCTCGGTCATGTGATCAGCTGTGTCCAATCACAGCTGATCACATGTAAATAGGGAAATGCCGGTTATCTGCATTTCTCTCCTCATGAGCCGTCACGCTGACAGCTCGAGAGGAGAGCCGGTAATCGGCATTCCTCTGAGGGAACATGTACACTGATCATCAGGGCACTGATCATCAGTGTGCCCTGATGATCAGTGTAGCCCCAGCAGTGCCACCTGTTAGTGCCCATCAATGCCACCTGCCAGTGCCCATCAGTGCCTCATCAATGCCATATATGAGTGCCTACCAGTGCACATCAATGCCATATATCAGTGCCCATCTAAGCTGCCTTTCAGTGCCACCTATCAGTGCTGCCAATCAGTGCGCGTCTGTGCTGCCTAACAGTGCTACCTATCAGTGCCATATATGAGTGCTGCCTTTCACTGCCCATCAGTGATGCCTGTCAGTGCCCATCAGTGCCACCTACTAGTGCCTCCTCATCAGTGTCACCTATCAGTGCAGCCTATCAGTGCCCATCACTGCAGCCTCATTAGCACACATCAGTGAAGGAAAAAAAATCACTTATTTACAAAATTTTATAACAAAAACTAAGAAAAAACTTTTTTTACATTTTTCAGTCGTTTTTGGTTTGTTTAGCAAAAAATAAAAAACCCAGAGGTGATTAAATACCACCAAAAGAAAGCTCTGTCTCAAAAAAATTATACAAATTTCATATGGGTACAATGTTGCATGACCGTGCAATTGACATTCAAACTGTGACAGCGCTGAAAGCTGAAAATTGGCCTGGGCAGGAATGGGGTATAAGTGCCCTGTAGGCAAGTAGTTAATCAGCAGCCGGGGAAGCTGAAGGTCAGCAGCTTTCTGTCCCTGATCCACATGGTTTGGAAAAAGGCTTCAGACACCTAACATCTTCATAAGAAAAAAAAAAGTAAAACAACTCCCCTTCTCCAGTGAGGATGCACTCACATATCTATCTACCGAGAGGCAAAAAGGATAATTTTAAGGCTATCATTTAGGTTTAATTCAAAAGTATTACGTTTTAGCTTAACCCCTTCATGAGTGAGGGTAAAACAAACCTTAATGACTAGACCCAATTTTGCAACTTTCACGTGTTAAAGTGGTTCTAGTCTCAAGGTTTTTTACCTTGATGCATCAAGGTAAAAAAAAACCTGTGTGTAGCAGACCCCCCCTCCCCCCCAACACTTACCTGAGCCCCCCTCTTATTCCAGCGATGTCCATGAGAGCCTGGGTTCTCCAGGGACTCTCACTCCTGATTGGCTGAGGCAGCAGCGGAACCCATTGGCTTTCGCTGCTGTCAATCACAGCCAGTAAGCCGATCAGGAAAGGGAGGAGGTGGGGCCGAGCTGCGACTCTGCATGTGAATAGACACACAGAGAGGCAGCTTGGGAGAGCGTCTGGTCGGGTGCTCCCATAACAAGCGGGTTTGCTATGGGGGAACCCGAAAGGAGGAAGGGGCCAGGAGTGCCAGCGGCAGACACAAGAAGAGGAGGACCCGGGCTGCTCTGTGCAAAACCACTACACAGAGGAGATAAGTATAGACATGTTAGTTATTTTTAAGGAAAAAAAACTAAGACTTTAGCATCACTTTAACCACTTGCCCTCCAGAGGATTCACCCTCCTTCCTGACCAGGCAATTTTTTGTATTACGGCGCTACGTTACTTTAACTGACAATTGTGTGGTCATGGAACTGAATGAAAAAAGACAATTTTGAGAATTTTTAAAAACTTTTTCCAGATGAAATTTATGTCCTTTTTCTCCCGCCATGAAGTGAGCATTCTTTTGGTGGTATTTGATTGCCTGTGAGGTTTTTTTATCTTGATTTATTTTGATAACCGCGTGCGCCCCCCTACCCAGAAATGCAAAATATCATATATTATATGTGTGTGTATATATTTATATATATATATATATATATATATATATATATATATATATATATATTATATTATATATATTTTATATTATACACACACACACATAATTTTGCGCACCCGTGCCGCCGTGTAGCAGTATATCTGCTATGTGGCGGCGGGTAAGCAGCTAATAAAACTGAACAAATAATCGCAACTACTTTGTGTATCCAGGTGGATTATACCATTTTTTTTTTTAAAACAAATTAGCCTTTCAGTTGGTGGTAAATGGTGACAAATATCTCCTGTTTTTTTATTATCAAAGGAAAAAAAAAAAAAAGTAAAGAAATTCAGTTCCCCAATATCCTTTTTGTGAACAGGTGCCCAAAACGAAACTGCATATTCCATGAGGTGTTACTAATGATTTGTACAGTGGAAAAATTATGTCTCTCTCTGCAGACCATACCCATTTTAATACAAGAAAGGATTTTGTTCAGTTTGGAAACCACAGCTTGGCATTGCATGCTATTATTAAAGGTTAAGTTCACCTTTGGGAACATGTTACATGTTCCACCCATTTTTAGGGTGAACCAGGTAACACATTCCTACTCCTGCAGCCGTTATCAACATTAAACCTCATTTGCCACAGTGTTTCCCAATTAAACAGTGCACTGAGGTCAGCTTGCTACTACCATAACGCACCACCAAAGAATAACTCAAAATAAAATTCTCCTGCTCCTGACGATTGCAGTGATACCACCATATGTATATGTTAATTGTTGCATGTACCCGTAGTAGCACACAGAATCAATAGTGCGCATTTTACTTTTTTTTATCCTACCTAAAACATTCTGACAAAAAACTTTTTTTTAAATTCTACCTAAATATACTGATCCTGACCCTTACACTGACATAGCTCAAGCCGTAACCCTTTTGCTGCCAGAGCTGTTTTTGCACTTTTTTGCACACACCTAAAATATAATTTTAGGCCTGAAGATTACATAAAACCCCAAAACATTATATATTTTCTAAAATCAGACACCCTAGAGAATAAAATAGTGGTAGTTCCAATTTTTTATGACACACAATATTACCACAAAGGTCTAGGAAAAATTTCAGTTAAAAAAAAAAAATAATAATTTTAGGGTACACAAGCACAATAAATTACAACATTTTTGGGTAAAATAAGACAAGGTTTTTCCTTCTACTTTTGTTTACATTGTTCTCTTCTCCTCATTCCTGGGAGAAAGAAAACACAGGGGCAGGCAGCACAATGACTAATCACTGTCATAGCCAATTATCAGCTATCACAGCGATCAATTGACTGATCGTTTGTACTTCTAACACTCCAGTCCCCCCAGATGGACAATGCTGCTGTCCACATCTGCCCCCTGTGCCCATTCATCCAGAGTGGTGTCTGTATGATACAGATGTGTTACTGGCCAGATGACCTGTGCAAAGTAGAGTGAAAAAAACTTTAAAAAAAGAAATCTAATACAGCCACTAAATCTAATGATTGATAAGCTTCAATATATTATTTTGTTGGTTTTAAGTATAATACCGCTTTAATTTTCCTTACTTGGCCCATCATTTTTTGCCAGCATATACTTTAATCAAGCTCCAAGTAATTATAGACTGGTTAGTTTAACTTCTATAGTTGGGAAGATACAGGAGTGTTTAATAAAAGACCACATCGATGAGTTCTTGCTTTAGAAAAAAAAAAAAAAAAATTAAGCAACAGACAGCATAGATTCATGAAAGACAGAAGTTGTCGAACAAATTTGATTTCTTTTTATGAGGAGGTAAGCAAAACCTTGGACAGAGGTGGCTGTGGACGTGGTATATTTGGATTTTGCAAAGCGTTTGACACAGTTCCCCACACACGACTAATGTTTAAGGTAAAGTCTACAGGCTTGGAAAAATCCATATGTAAATGGGTAGAAAACTGGCTAAAAGATCGTATTCAGAGAGTAGTGGTTAATGATTCATACTCTGAATGGTCTAGGGTTGTCAGTGGTGTACCCCAAGGTTCAGTGTTGGGACCCTTACTTTTTAATATATTTATAAATTATATAGTGTCTGGGATTATAAATCCCATTTCAGTCTTTGCAGATGACACCAAGCTGTGCAGTGGAATAACGTTCTTACAGGATGTCTTCAACTTACAAGCCGACCTCAATGCTCTGTTTAATTGGGCAACTATGTGGCAAATGAGGTTTAATGTTGATAAATGTAAGGTTATGCACTTGGGGGCTAAGAATATGCATGCATCATACATACTAGGGGGAGTACAACTGGGGGAATCAATGGTGGAGAAGGATCTGGGAGTTCTGGTAGATCACAAGCTTAATATTGGCATGCAATACCAAGCTGCAGTTTCTAAAAATGAGCAAAAGCCTCTCTTGTATTAAAAGAGGTATAGACTCCAGAGAGAGAGAGATATCATATTACCCCTGTACAAATCATTAGTAAGACCCCATCTGGAATAGGTAGTTCAGTTTTGGGCACCAATTCACAAAAAGAACATTGGGGAACTGGAGAAAGTACAGAGAAGGGAAACTAAACTGATACGAGGCATGGAGGAGATCAGCTATGAGGAAAGATTAGAGG